TTTAGGATTAGCTGTTTGTAATTTTTATGCTGCCTGACAGAAATATACTGAAATATCTCAAAGAGTCTATGCATCAGTCTATGCACCAGTCTATGCATCAGTCTATGCATCAATCTATGCACCAGTCTATGCATCAGTCTATGCATCAGTCTATGCATCAGTCTATGCATCTCTGCATCAAGGGATAGTTCAGAACTTTTTAAGGGGAGTTCAATAGACAGTCTGTGGACAGTTAATATCATACCTGTTGCAGATGTCTCTTTGAGTGACCAGTTTAAAGAAAGCCAGTTTAAATCTGACTGGTCTGACAAGCTCACAGAGAAAGGCCAATGACTGCTGCTGTCTTAAAGCAAATCCAGTCCCAAAGATGTTCATCGTGGCTCAAAATGTCTCTGCTAAAATGACCAAACAATACAAAAGTAACAAGTAAATTAAACAAACAACAAAAAACAGCTTTTGAATGAATTGCTATGAAATGTTCAAGTTTGGAGTTGTTCAAAGCATCGACTTTGTTCTTGGGCACGCTCCAACTAGTCTTTGGCTCATCGTTCAAGTTATAATAAACATTCGTTCTTTAGGTTGTTGTCTACAACAGCTTCATAACTTTCTCATAAATCCTTTCAAAAGATCGAAATATTATTTTGAATAAGAACGTATCTTTCTGCTTTTATGCTTGAATGCTGTTATTAAAATAAATGTTTGGAATTGAATTTTAAATGACTTTTCAAATTTCACAAATATCTCTATCCCTTTAAGATTTTAACAACTCTCTCTTTTAACAAACTTTAATTGGATATTTAAAGGTAATGTGTTATTATAATTGATAAAACACTATAATCTACCAAATCATGGACTCGTGACTGTGGCACAACAATATAAACTGCACATTGTGTGAGATCTTTGTTTTAAACCCTCACATGTTGGAATGGTCTTTGTTAGTAAAACTTTTCCTATCCCACTGAACAGATTACAATTAAACTCTCAGAAAGAAAACACTGAACATTCACAAGTCACAGTTCAACGTAGCGGCTACAGCTGGTCACCATTAACACAAACAGGATCACGTTCCAGTGCATTTTACAGGTACTGAGCAAATAATCTGGAGAGGTAGTAACTGACAGTGATGCAAAACACATTTTCCAAGCACTAATAGATCACATGAGATGAGATTGTGCATATTTTCATGGCTTGATCAAAATGGCTAGAATTCAGTTCTCATCATTAAAAGTATGTTTTTTTTTAAATCAAGACAAAGCTGGAAATGTTGAGACCTCTTGAATAAAAGAGTCAAAACAGCACCTATTTACACTGTTGCTCCTCTCAGAGCACCCTCTTTTAGGCTCCAAAAGTCAGTTTATTTTAATTTACGACACACTGAGTTACTCTTCAAAAAGCCAAACAGATTGTGTGGATGCTCTTTTTTTGTATATTTGTTTCCTCCCTGTGGGTTCCCTCACTCCTACCGACCCACTCTGTAGAACATCTGCAATAACATGCTCACCCACACAGAGCCAAGCCATCAAAATACATGAATCATCCCGAGTTGAGAGAGGGGGTGCACGTAGATGTGTGCGCCTCTTTATCTCCGTTTATGGATCTCTCAGTGACATATGAGAAAATAATTTGTTTTTATGTGCGCACAGAGCTGCGTACTTCTGAAGGATCGTGTGTTTGTTTACTGGTGCGTGTGTGTATGTGCACGTTGGCTGCTGATCCTCAGCTCGAGGGTTCTGTGTGGGCAGAAGAAGCATCCTGTGCTGGTGTAAATTGATTTCCAGAATCCAGACGTGAGGTGCTCCACGCAGGAAGGTGCGCTTCTGCACCCTTTTATAGAAGGCGGTAAAATGTTTTATGGCTGCTTGTGTGTGTGTGTGTGTGTGTCCTTGTTTATGCTACTTTGTGAGGCCCATTTTTCCAACTTATACTACATTGTGAGGACCAACTGCTCCTTATGGGGCCCAAAGCCCGGGCCCCATAAGAAGAAGTCCCTTTGGTGGGTTACGGGCTAGGTTTAGGACTAAGTTGTGAATTGAGGATGTGTTAGGTTTAGGGTTAGGTATGTACTGGTAATGGTTAGGTTATGGATAAAGGTCATGGTTAGGCTATAGAAATGAATGAAAAATGAATGGAAGTCAATGCAAAGGCCCCACAAAGATAGCAAAACAAACCTGTGTGTGTGTGTGTGTGTGTGTGTGTGAACAAAAAGGGGAAGGCATGACAGGAAAGTGCACACAAGAGCAATGACACTGGAAATCTGATCATTCTGTTGCCACCACAAAAATCTAACTGCATCTGTCCAGGTCAGAGATTAATTTCCTGATGCAATCTGTAATCTGCAGAAAACAGCTGGTTTATTCGTGACTTCAAGTGTTCATGTGCAGTTTGTGGAAGACTGTGTGTGCATCCTTTGTTTATTCATGAGAAGAGACGGAGAGGAATGTGCTGTGTCAGAATAAGGCAGATAAACAGTGAGGTAAAGGGAGAGAAGAGAACGGTTCTTATCCCACGGTGACAACATCTCAGAGGTGCGTGTGCACGAAGCTGCTGCGACTTTACTCAGAGCTACAACAGACCAATGATGGACGGTGGCCTTTAGATCTGCATGCAGTTCCTTCCATGTAATTATTATTATTGATTTGAAATCAGTCAGGATGAACACATGTTTCTTCACTAACTACAATAAACAAATAAATGCATAAAAATGTAAAACATTCAAGAGGTAAGTGTAAGAAAAATATAATTAAAACTAATTTATTGGCAATAAGCCAATGACATTTTTCATAACTGAATTTCCAGGTTTGTTTTCGGACGTGTCCAATTATTTTGGTGCTAAACCTCCCCCATCGTTCTTTTTTCTGGTGATTTTAATCCTCATAGAGTTTTGAAGCATCACATATTTGGGTGCCATTCCCTCTGGTTTTTGTGTGCGCTAGTCATTTGTGTGCTTTTAAATCATTTTTTAGGCGTGCAAACCAAAGCTACAGGGGAGAGTTTAGATTTTATGAATTGGGGTTTTATGGAAAGGTTCATTTTTTTATGTAGACAGCTTTTGAGCAGCTTCAGTTTAGAGAAATAGAATTTAGTTGGTTTAACATGCAAGTTAGACTGGGGCCAAAACCACAATGGATTGCTGCTGTCTTAACTCAGTTATCTCAAAAATATTCTAGTTCAGATGCTTCACTGGCTGCCCCCAAAAAAGTCGCCACCAAAAAAAAGTCACACACAAAAATTTTGTTGGACCGCCTTTAGTTTTGATTACATCATGCATCCACTGTGGCGTTGTTTCAATAAACTTCTGTGATGTCACAAGATCTATTTCCATCCAGTGTTTCATTAATTTTCACCACTGATGACTAGACACTAGGTATCACTTCACCTGCCTCTCTTCTAACCCTGATGCTCCCATCACTCTGGAACAGGGTAAATCTGGACTCATCAGACCACATGACCTTCTTCCATTGCTCTACAGTCCGATCTTTCTGCCCCCTAGCAAATTGAAGCCTTTTTTCCTGGTTAGCTTCACTGATTACTGGTTTTCTTAAGGCTACACAGCTGTTCAGTCCCAACTCATTGAGTTCTCTTCACATTGTGTGTGTGGAAATGTTCTTACTGTCACTATTAAATACAGCCCTGAGTGCTACTGCTGTTTTTCTTCCATTTGATTTCACCAAACGTTTAAGTGATTGACGATCACGATCATTCAGGATTTTTTTCCAGGCACATTTCTTCCTTGAAGACGATGAGTCCCCACTGTCCTTCCAGTTTTTAATAATAGACAGTTCTTAACCCAGTTTTAGAAGTTTCTTCAATCTCCTTAGATGTTTTCTCTGCTTGATGCCAATGATTTGACCCTTCTCAGACGGACGTCTTTTCCACGACCACGCGATGCTTCTTTCAACACGGTTGTTAAAGAAATGAGAAGCAACTCATTGCACCAGTGGGGGTTAAATAACTTGTTGCAGCTGAAAGATAATCCATGCAGTAATTATCCAATAGGACGCTCGTACCTATTTGCTTAGTTAAATCCAGGTGGCAACTTTTTTTTTGGCCAGCCAGTGTATTTTGAAAAAGGTTACATTGAAATTAGTTTTGCAACAGCTGAGGATTTTTTTACAACACCTTTCATGATGAATACCACAAAGTGCAAGTTTAAAAACAAAAGCTATTTTCTGCTGTGACCATTCACAGAGGTACAACAGGTAAGATATTGACAGCTCGTAAATATTCCACAGAACCTGACATGAAAAGATCTGAACTTTGAAGAGTTTGCATTCTTAAGACCAAAAATGTGCGTATAGTACACAAATACATTTGTGAATCCTCTGAAGAGCCAACAAGTTTGCTTTAGCTGCGCCTCAGTCGTGCAAGCTCATCTTTATTTAATGGCTTTTAAATTAATCCACGAGGCAATTTGCTTTCTTGCTTGGGGAAGAAAGAAGGGGAGAACAACACTAAATAATCAGAGTGATTAAACTGTCGTGAGTCGCTCTCACACAGTGGAGGCTGCTCGGATGTTCCAGCAGCAGCAGCAGGGTGATGGGATGGGGCTGGGTCGTTGGCACTTGAGTGTAATTCCATGTGGGAGGAGGATGGGTGGGTTTAAGTGCAGCTATCGGGTCTTTTCTTCTCACGCGCTCTGCTGTGCGCGCAGACTGAAGACAGAATCCAGGCGCGCTCCACCTCTCCGCGCGATGCGCAGCAGGTCGGTGAGAGCGCAGCATTAATCTCTAATTCTCCAGTCCCCGCACATCAAAACCAGTTTTTATTTACGCATTTACTTTTTAATTTTATTATTTCGGGTGTTCCCTCACTCATGCCCCACCTTCTGCAGCTTCAGTATCTGTGAAGTGGCTGCCTCGCCCTGTCGGACCGGGGGCCGCCTGGTCTCTGATCTGCTCCCAGTCTCCGGGGACGCGTCGCGCTCCTCCGGGACCAGCAGGAGGCTGTGCGCCTCGCGAATCACGCCCGAGCCAGCGGCGCGCGCTCTGCCCGTGGACACGATGGAGGGAGGAGACGTGATGGACAAACTGGAGGACATGTCTTCGGTGTACGACTTCGACCCGATCACCGGAAACATCCCCGCCACCAAGGTGGAGATCACGGTCTCCTGCAGGTGAGGCTTGCGCTCCCGGCTTTTCTCAAGTTGTGAACGCGCCCCGCCCTGTCTGAGGGGGCTTACAGAATGATCCAAACTTAAGCTTTTGGACACTTAAAAAGTTGACCATTTTGTTTTGAGGGGCTCATTGAACAAAACTTAGTTCTTTGCTGTCTTCTGTGCCTGAAACTGCAGATTTCCGCTTACTGGTGCACGAGCTTTAGACAGTGTGCCAAGTGTCAGCTCTTACTGAGGTGCACAGCCCATCACTGACACATCCTTGCATGTTTTTGTGCTGCAGGTTCTGTAACCGGCTGCTTTCAGCACCACAGCCCTTCAGCTCCTGCATTCTTTACAGAGCTGTTAAAGTTTCAAAGCTTTGCATCATATTGGCTCTGCCTGCAGTGTCCCTGGCCTCAGCCTTAACTCACTCCCATTATGATATTATTTTACCGTTTCATTTTCAGGAAGTATGTCAAGAAAAAACAAAAAATCAATCTCCCCACACAGCCCCTTCAGTCCCCCACTCCTCCTCCCACGAGGAGAGGCTTTAAAGTCAAGCTTACAATGCATTTCACCTCCTCCTTAAACACTTTAGTGGTGGCATGCGTGAGCTTGCACACACACACGTTGATGTTTCTGATCTTTGATTGTGGGTTTAAACTTGGCAAGCCATCCAAGCTGAGTGAGTTGGAGATATAACAAGCTGGAAGTGCATTATTGATGAGCTCTCTGACCTTCAGGGAAGCTTGCTCCAACAACTCTCAGCTCAGAGAGCAAAAAACAGACGCTTGCAAGAAATTTGCTGAACGAACCAAGGGTTGAGGTGCACATCTTGATGGCGGATGAACGGGAGGTTGCCTGCTTGTGCATCAGTCAGGACTCTGCATACATAGCCTTAAAGTTGAGCCGACTGAGCTCATGTCGTTACCAAAGTGCAATTAAGCACCATTCAGGTAAAAAGATGAGTTCCATCCTGACAACCACCCCCTGCATTTATGCAAATCATCCCTGTGGTTGTGTATCGGCGTGTGTCTGATGTGTGCTGGGGTGTAGGAAGGCAGACTGGTGGCGCTTTGTCTCTCTGGAAGCAACATGGCGACTCTGCAGGAGAATAAATCAGTCATTTAAAGGGGAGGCTTGATGCTTCTCCCTCCTGCTTCATGCCGCCCTGTTTGTGTGTGTGAGGCAAAGGTTGAGAGTTTGTCTCCGAACATTCTGCAGAAAATCAACGTTTTCGACGCAAACGATGTGAGGGATTAAATGAGCATGTAGTCATTAAGCTCACTGGTGACGTGCAGGCTCTTGGCAACGTTTAAATTAAAGAGATTTACAGTTCAAATTTAGTCTTCATAAAGTTCCTAATGACACCCTTGTGTCTTTAACGCAGGTTTTCAGATCAACAGCAAAGACTCAGCTCTTTCCTTTTTGAGGAATCCATTTTGAAATGTGAGGTTTTTATATCGTTACACTCTTCCTGCTTTCCTTCACTTCCTTACCTTTTTATTTCCCAGTGGTTCCCTCTACAAATAAAAATGTTATTACGTCACAGGCTGTGACATAAACAGAGTTCATCTTCGTCATGTTTGACGCACTAGATTTGAAATAAAACTCTCATAAAGTGATCACTGCATGTATCTCTACTACAGATTACCACTTGGGGTCAACCCAATTCAAAATGGCTGCCACAACTAAACAATCTTAGCAGACACGAAATGGATGAAATACATTTTCCTGCTTACTGTTAGTCAAAATGTTTCATCTGTTGGCAAACCACTTTTTAATGAAACTCAAATTCAATCAGCGGATGTACTTTACAACTGATTCGCCTCAGAAATGAATCTGATTCAAGATGGCCGCCACAGTTAATCAGTGTTTACAAACAATAAAATAGATTTAAGTTGGTCCAATTTGAGTTAAAGTTTGATTTAGTAGTAGCTGAAAGTAATTCTCAACACAAACTCTGAGCACTATGTGATGAGAATGAACACGCCATACTTTACATTTTGCACAAACTCCTGTTATAATTACACGTGGGTTTAATTTTAAATGAAAGTTGGCAAGTGATTATTGCCAACTTTAGGTGGTTTTCTTTCTTTGTGAGCATCACTTCATCTCCCGACTTTTAAAGGTTAACGGAATCAATGTTTGCAGCATTTGAACTTTGCACCACCTGGTTGTCTGAGATAAACAAAAGGATAAACTCTAAAACTTGCCTAAATGTTGAATGAACAAGTTTTTAATCTGTGCAGAGTTCTTTTCATAGATCAGTTTATTTGATTTCACTCAGATGTTTTAAACCATTGCATGATCTCCACTCACCCCCAGTTTCACCAACTTCTTTAAAGCAGAAAATAATCTGGTGAACATTTCTGACATTTTAAATTGATGTTAACAGATAAGTCTCTTCAAATCCTCTAAGCAGTCTGTCCAGATGTTGTGTGAGTCAGATCCATGAAGCTTCTGTGCTTGGTCATACTCTGCCCCCCCCCCCCCCCCCTTTTATTACAGGCTGCACACCTGCTTTTTGACAACACTATTATCAGGGGCCATGTCAAACAGAGAGGGGTGGGTGGGCACCGGATCAGAGAAATGGGGTGGGGTGTGAGTGTGTTTGTGTGTGTGTGTGTGTGTGTGTGTGTGTGTGGGTGTGTGGGGGGGGGGGGGTAATGATAGGAATTGTTTGGTCTTTCACTCATTTGAGGAAAAGAAATAAAATATTTTATGGCAGAAAGTTGGAAAAACTTAACAAACAAAAAACACTTCCTGTTCAGGAGGAGTGGTGGCTCAGAGGTTAGAGAAGGTGAGCATGTGATCGGAAAGTTCGATCCCCCGGACTGACTACATCAAAATGTAGGTGGAAATGATGAAGCAACCACACCTGCCTCCACCCTCATTTGCTCCACTCTGGGCCCTTGAGCAAGGCCCTTAACCCCCACCATCTGCTCCTCCGGGTGTCCTAGACAGCAGCTCTCTGCTCCACGCAGAGGGCTGCGGTAGCTCGGTGGTTTTTGTCAGGAAGGGCATCGGTTTAAAACAATTTCCAAGTGTTTGTGTGAGTGGGTTCGCTGTGGTGACCCCTGAGGGAGTGACCAGCTGAAAGAAGAAGAAGAAGAAAAACACTTACTGTTTAGTTTTTGGTTTTCAGCTTGGGTGACATTCGTCACTGTTCATGCATCTTTCGTAGCGTTTGATGAAAAACGTTTTGTGCGTGTGTTTAATTAGTGAAAGCTTCTCCTTTAGAGAGGAATATTAATAAATTCATAATGGGTTAGACAGATTGTCACCCAAAAAAAAATAAAAAAATTCTGATTTTTGAGCCCAAATCCAGTCTGTTTTTATTTTAAACTGGTGTTTGTATCCCACAAAGCTTGTCGCTCCGTGGTTATGTTCTCAGAGGTAAATGAGAGGAAAACAGGTGCAAAGTGATGAACAGAGGTTTAAAACCTGCTGCCACAATGCTGCTGTCCATCATCAGGCCTTCCTTAAATCCCTTTAAAACACTCCAAATACAAACTGTTGACCACTTTTGTGTTTTTGCGCTGCCGTCTTACCAGACGTTCCAACAGCACAAATTCATGTCATGAGCGTTGAGCGTGACTCGTAGCTGTTCAGCCGCCGCGGCGCTCAGTCCAGCTGAAGAGGACCTGTCTGCTCCAGCTTTTAAGAGTAGGTCTGAGAAGCAGCTGCTTCAAGTGGTATCAAGAACAATGAGCTCGCTCGACATGACATGAACAGTTAAAGAAGACAAACAAACAAGCAAAAGGAAAAGCTTAGCAGTCTACTTGTTTCTTAAATTCAAACCCTTTTTTATGAATAAATAAATAAATAAATAAATAAAAACTTCCGTCGCCACCTCTTAACTCTGTTTAATAGCAATTACTGATGGATGAAAGAGTTTCTGAAAAGTTTTATTGCATTTATTTACCCTGGTTAAGTGTTTGGATTTAAATTTAAGGCATTTTCAAAAATCTTGTATTCCTTCTTTCCAGAAAATGCTGAGCTGAACCATAACTGGATTTTTAATGAAGCTTCATTATATAAGTCAATTTTAGTTTTACCATTTTATTTCATCTATTGTGGAGAAACACCAATGGTTTTGACAACACCGGGCAGATATTTACCATTTTCTATTCTTGTTCATAAATAAATGTGATCAGTTTGTGTTTTTAAGGCTAACTATTCAATAGAACTGAAATCTGTAAAATATTCAATACAATAGATTTAGACTATGAAAATAGTCTGTAGCAGGACTTTTCTTTTGTTGCTTAAAGGCATAGTTCAAATATTTTACAGTGGGGTGAGGAAAGGTTAGGAGTAATCAACATCTTACCTGTTATATATAGATCATTGAACAACCACAGTTTGGAGAATTAAAGTTCAGTTCTGACTAAACAAAAAAAGATGGCTGCCCCAAATTACAATCGCAAAGACTTTACAGTGGTTTGTGTTAACGCTATTTTAAACATGCTGCTGCTCGTGGAGCAATACTTGCCTATTTAGATTTTATAATTAACTGCACGTGCAACATGTGGCAGCTAGCGATAGCACTTTCACTGCAGCTCAGTTTTATTGTCATTTCAGCCTCGAGTACAAATTGAAATGAAACAGTGTTCCCCAGCATCACTGTGCAACATAGAACATAACGTGTAAAACAACACAACACATAGTGCAAATAAGCAACAGTACAATAAATACAAACAGACCTATAAAAAATGCAAAAAGACATCTAATCTAAACAAGTAATTAAGAGACAAGACCAGAGACACATGTTGATGAGTACATGTGTAGGTGATACTGTACATGAGGTAGAAACATGTTCTGATACGTGGTTAGCAGCACAAAGTTTTTATGTTTGTATAGCTGCTGAGGTTAAAACTGTGTAAAGTGCAAAAATGCCTAAACTTGAGCAGATTGCAAAAACGTACGAGTAGAGAAGTCACAAAAAGTACAACACATTTAGTTTGTGTGTGTATGAGTGAGTCCATCATGTGTGTGTGTCAGAGTCCATTGTGTGTGTGTCAGAGTCCATCATG